TTTAGATCGATTTCCTCTTCCCCCATCTTCCAGCGTATGTGATATTTGGTCATGAGTTTCCAACCCAACAGATAGTAAAGATACATCACCTGCAGACAATAAACAGTTAAACTAAAGGTTCTTGACTAAAATGTTGAGATGATCCATATGCTATTACCTACCTGAGACCATCTCTTTTTGTTCCGGATCTTCTGTTTGTCTTTGAAGTGAACTACAATGTTATTCCCATGAGGCATTTCAACAACCAGTCTAGCTCCATATGGCGTCTCTATGATTGACTGATGAGGAATATGCTGCTGTACCTCAAAGAATGATTTATCAATGTTCTTGAAGATGCTGATGATAGAGAGAAAGGATACTGATAAATAATTTACCTTGGAACATTTTCATCTCTAGTGTTTCAATTGTTGCTTTTAGGGAGTAAAATTAATTGGCACAAACTTATGTTATTTGGAGTGAATTATTAATAATGAGGTGATTCTGAGTGGTGACCCAGCCATGAAAAGTCTAAATTTATACTGAAGTAGGTGACACCGAGTAGTAGGTAACAGACATTATCTCATTTAACCAGAATGTCACCAATATAGATCTGAACACCAAACTCTAAAACAAATCAAAACTTTGACAAAAAACCCACAATCTATATTATCTGAACATGTCAAATCTACACAAACTTCCTAGAAATTCACATGCAAGTAAATACACATTTGATCTTAAAAACATGTTTTCTATTCATGGCCTGATCAGTTCCCTACTCAATGTCATTTTAATAGCTGAGGATCGAGTTCATTTCTTGACTTATTAATTAAGACGGATTGTGAAAAAACATCTTTGTTTTTCAAACAACTTTCCTCCAAGAATTGTTGGCAAAACAAGTTATTCTAACATATTAGTAATTAAGTAATTTATGTGGGAAACATGATCATTATTAAAACCTAATGACATTTCAGACAAACTCTGCTGGCAATCAGGTTATAAAATAAGCTATCTGTAAACATGGTTCTTACCCATAAACCTCAGTGATGATTTGCACAAGGTCCTTTGCATATGTGTTCATATGACGATCCTGATTTCCTTTGGCATTTTCAAAGGCGTCATCAAAGTAGATATGGGCTTCAAAGGTGAAATCATTAAACTTGGGTCCTGTTTTTGGTCTGTACTTGTCCAGTCTTGAGACAAACATGAAGTGTGAATGAATTCATTAGAAAAAAAGTCAAATAAAGATTGTAAGACAATACTTAAATTATATATAATAGAGACTCTTCAGGTGCTCACCTGAAAATTGAGATCATGATATTCATCATTTCTTCATAGGTCTCATGCCACATTGTTGCACAGAGATAAATCAGAGCAGGAGTGTCATCCTCCTTATTCCTGGATATGAAAATATTTGCAAATATAAGCAATGGCTTTATTATTACTACTATTTGCTGAAACAGAAATTTCTGCCCAAAAGAAAGAAGATGAAAGAGTTGCACAGCATATGCACACAAAAACTAACTTACGGTTTCTTCTTGTTTTTTCTAGAGCGGATGTTGAAACGGGTGTTGAGGAGTAAGGACTGCTCAATAAAGGCACCCTCATAGAGTCTCCGAACAAACAAGTCTTGTGTCTTCTGG